ATGCTCTGTCATCCAGATCATGGTTGTCCCAAAGGTGCTTTTTCAAGAGGCAACTGGACTTTCTTGGAAAAACCAAACCAAAAAATACATATTTATAACAGGCATAAAAGGGAGGAATAGGTGATAGGAAGATGTTACTTTCATTGGTTTGCTTTTTTAAAAAACACCAAATCAGGCAATGATGTTAAATCCATGTTTTGTGTTTAATCTACAGCTCAAGGGCTACTAATTATTAGGATTGCAACATGCATATAGCAGCTAGGTTATTAAGCTTCTTTCTTACACAGATGGATAAAAAAGGCCAAATTACAATGCTAGGCAAGGGAGGGAAGCATTGGAACTTTGTAGTCTGGCCCAAACTCACCTTGATGAAGTTTCTATTGTTACTGCTGGTGCCAAATGAGTTGTTTGTGCAGTCAGAGTTTGTGCATGAATGGATGTGTTGAGCCTCCAATGCCACTTCCTTGGTCATCATGAAGAGAAGTGGCTGACTGGCTGCTTACATATTAGATCAAAATTAAGGCGGTGCCCATTCTCTGTTCAGATTTATGATTGGGCTTCAGCCACAACGTGAATCAAATTTAATCAGGCACTACAATGTAATGATCTTGTTTTCAAGACAAACATTGTTAGGCCAATGATACATATTGTTATACTTGCATGATGATATGTGCAATCTTTTGATGAACATCAACCACACTTAATATTTGGGGAGGACAATATAAATAGGCTGAGGCAAAGTGAACTGATTTTCTGGATTTTAGTGGTCCATGACTGTAATAAAAATTGAAATGGATTTTCTGGATTTTTTTCCCCTGGAGTTGATGAAGAGATTTTATGAGATTCATTGTTTTTTAAAGGGAGTACAGTTAAGATGTTGGGCTTGTCAGCTGGAAAGCTGGCAGTCCAGGTTCAAGACCTGAGCACCATGTGACAGGGTCACCTCCCATCCTCAGCTCAGCTCCTGCCAACCAAGCAGTTAGAAAGCCTACAAATGCAAGTAGATAAACAGGTACCACTTTGGTGGGAAGATAACAACACTCTATGATGTCATGCTGGCCTCATGACCGTGGAAATGTCTTCAGACAGCAGTGGCTCAGTGTCCTTGAAATGGAGATGAGTATCGCCCCCTATAGTCAGCAATGACAAGTGGAGTAAAATCTGCAGGGACTCCTTTTATCTTTATTGTTTTTTAAAACTGTTGTAAATTTCTTTTAGGGCCTATATTACAATTTTCATAAGCAATATATGACAGCTGTATATGAGAAATCTTCATGAACTTCACAACTGAAATATTTTCCCATCCTATTGCTATCTGTAGTGGTATGAGAGGGCCACTTTGTCTTTTGTTTTAGGCAGCAGCAAAATGTCTTGAGTCAAAATACATTCCAGGTCTTAAGTAATGGAAGAGACAAGTTCATTGCCGCCTGAAGAAAAATAGATACGTGTGGAAAGAAAGAAATCCCTGCAAAGTGGAGATATCAGCAGAGAAGAGTAGATTAAGATTTCCACAGTGTAAATGGCATAGGCACTTTAAAAAAAGGAAAGGATTATGCTAAAGAGAGACCAACATGTTTTGGTTCCTGAGGCAGAAAATGTAAATGATCAGAGTAAATGTAGTCTTCCCGGCTGTGTCCTGATTAAAAGTACACTGCAAGTGATTGCCTGGTAGGATAAATAAAAGCTTCCTATAATTAATGGAAGATTCTCTGAGAAGGTCCACCCTGACCTAGCTGGAGAATAGATAGTATGGATTCTAAGGGACCTAATATTCTTTAAACTGTTCCTGAGAGTTCTCCAAATCAATCTGATGACTTGGCATGGTTCTCCACAAATATTTGGAAGTGGAAGAAGTGGGTGGAGGATTGATTCCTGTGTTAATGTTTTCTGAAAGAGGCTCCCAAGAGTGTGCTTAGGGTCTAGGTCAGTGGTGGTGAACCTATGGCATGGGTGCCAGAGGTGGCACTTGGAGCCCTCTCTGTGGGCACATGCACCGTCTCCCCAGTCCCGCCTCCTCCCACGGCCCCCTCCTCACCAGCAGCCCCCCTGGAGGAGAGTCACTCTTGGGCATGGCCCACGCGAAGCAGCACAGCCAAGGACATGGTAGCCAGGCAGTGGGGACAAGACTCTGCCCTTGCACCCCGTTGTGCGCAGATGATGCTGCGGGGTATGGGTAGAGGGCGTGGCTGCCATGGCATTGCTGGGCTGCCTGGGTGATCTGTGGTGGGCCGTGGAGGTGGTGGGTGACCCAGAGGGCAGGGCAGAGTAGGGATGGAGTGGGTGCGGTTTTGGGGTACTCGGTCTCTAAAAGGTTCGCCATCACTGGTCTAGGTAGTGCCAATTGCACTCCTATCATTAGGCAGAAGTTAGATATATGAACTGTAGACTTTTTTTAGTGACCCTGTAATCCTTTAGAAACATTGAATGGGCTTTTGTTTCTACCAGGTTCTGATCTAATGTTGCATCTGAAGTCTAAGAAAGGAAAAGGGGTCAAGGTCTCTCCATCAGCCTGTAGAAATAGCAGAATTATAGGATGGACTATAATTTCTCATAATTACTTTCTAGATTTGTACCAACTCTGAGAGGGGGAAAAATCATGTAATGCAGAGTTATTGCACTTCTTGGGTTTTTTTTGAAGGCTATGTCATTGGGAGGAAAAGAATATAGCCTAGTCCTTTAATAATAAAAAAAACAATGGCCTCTGCAGTTGAACTGTAACAAAACTGATGATTTTTATGAACTGGCAGCCATTTCCACCTCCTCACATTATCCAATAACCTTATCAGAAGTGAAAATGCCCTCCTCCCCCAGCCCCACCTACATTTGCATTTAGATTGTTTGGTGCCAACATTCTCAATGAGATACTTTTCAGCTCTGTCAAACAAAACCCGATTGTCATTTAGCACAGTGGCAGTCAATTTACATTTCCATTAACGCAGACCCCAGACAATTATCAGAAGAAATTAAAAAAGAAAAGAAAATGGCTCTAACCAAAGCAACCTTCTGCCTCTTGTCCTAACAGAGAGTTCAGAGGTTGATGATGGGATGAAGGAGGTCAGTCTGGGAAAGAGCAGCAATGGGATGTCATCACATTCTCTCAACTGGAAGGTCAAGATGACAGAAAAGAGTCCAGGGGGAAGATTACGCAAAGACCTTGGACAGGAAGTCCAAGAGCTGGCAAACCATCATCTAGATCAGCATCAAAGGAAGAGGATCAAGGGGGAAAAGGCAAAGAGTGGATGGAAAAGGCAGAGGGCATGATGTGAGATGGATAAGCATGAGCATGTGAAGGAGGATGCATGTGATGTAAATCATAATTCAATATTATGATAAAAGGAAGACCTAACACTCATTTTCTATCTGGGAAAATTTTCTGGAAATGCACCACGTGGATTTCACCAGATATTGAGGATAATATTCCTACTCATTTCAAGACAACATTGAAGATTTTTTATTGGAAAGCCTTATGATACTTTATAATGGCAGTCAGTGGTATTGTTCTATGATTGCAGATGAACTAGCGGTGATGCAATTGAGATTTATAGATAGCAGCTTAATAAATGTACAGTTCAATTCAAAGAAGTACCTTGTGAATTGGGATTATGCAGGTTGGCTCTGAGCCTTAGTACTCATTATCTGTCTAATGAGTCTTTTCTCCTGTGATTGGTTGCAATTTTCCAAGATGTATCACAATCCTATCATCTGCTATTTTAGTCTTTTACCCTGAGATATTAGGAACCATCTTGTGGGAACTACTGGATTCAAAGCATGAAAGTTATTATAAAGGTATTATTTTTTGTGGAACATACTTCCCATTCTAATTAATTTCTGATGTGCTGGCTTGTAATTAATGTGGCAAAATATTTTATGCTTAAGTAACAGTGCATAAAGGATAGCATCAGGAACAAATGAAGGTATATAAATGTAATATATAAATATGGAAAGCATCCTAAAGATGCTTCCATCCAGCAAAGCAATGGAAAGATTTCATATATAGTGGTCTCCTTGTGTGAAAATGGTGCCTGCCTCCAATGAAGGGCTTTAAGTAGGCGATGACTAGTTATTGTTTCTTGCTCTCTAGCCTTTAGCGCTTGCATAATTCAAGCCCATATTTCCCAAAGCAACATATAACATGCTAGGCTATTTCTAAGACTAATTTCCATAGGCCAGACAGGTGCATAAATTGTGTTTATGTTCTATGGACCCTTATTAAATGGACCCTTATTAAATTGACTTCTCCTTCTAGTCAGTTTAATGCTGCAGATTAGCCCAATGAGCCTTCACAATTCCAGATTTCTACATCTTTGCAGAAACAGCCAATTGTGTTGGAAGGGTAACTCCCATGTCTTTGACTTTTCAGCAACTCACAGCCTACCAATGAAGAAAGATATGGATTTATTTGTGTCCCCTCTTGGTCTATCACTGTCTGCTTTTATTTTCTGAAATTGATAATCTTTTCTGCCTTTGTTTTCAGACATGCACCCACAAAACTCTTGGCCTGGCACTGAGTTTCCTGATGGGACAGAACTATCCAGGAGATTGGCTCAACCTCTGTTTCATCCAATCAGCACTTTTTTCTGGGAAAATTATAACTCTGCTTTATTAATCCTTGTCCAGATTTGATTCCCACTCGTCAGAAATGTTCATCCACTCGTAAAATCCTGCTATCTGAGGCAAACCGAGGGGTGCTGGCCCCAGGTATAGAGATGCTGGTCCAAGGGTGATCCTCAGTCATCTTTGGGACAGTTGAGGATTCCATTTTGTGTGGATCAGCAATGAGTAAGACAAGAAAAATAAAAGCATAAATTGCTTCTGTCACTAAATCACTAAGCTAATCAGAAAAGAATGTTCAGAGAGAGAAAAAAATAAAGAGATCCTGGAAACTGCTGAGAGGCTGGAGGACCAAGCCACTTATACTGCTTGTTAATCAAGCACCATGTTCTGTCTCTTTTCTGAATTACTGCTCTCCAGCCAAGCAAAACAAACCTCCTTCACTCAGGTTACACTAATGGTTATTTTATTTAAAGGATGAGAACACTGTCACTGTCGGTCATTTGCACTCATAACAACCATTGACATTTTCTAAATAATATGTTAACATTCATGTGTAACAAAAACCTTGTTTCTGACATGTGCAAAGTACAAAGGTTTTTTCATTTGCAGAAACCTCCCCTCCCCCCCCCCCAGTATAACAAATTTGGCCTTTTACAAAAGAAGGCTGCAAGGACAATTTCTTCAGAGATTTCTGTCACAGGAAACGCACACATGTGCACGTGCTCAACCCCTCCCTCCCCCATGCTTTCAGTCCACTGAAGAAATATTTCTCAATGGATTCACTGTAGAAGTAAAATCTCATAGAAGGACAGAGAAGTCACTGTCTGAAGTCTGTGCTTTTGCCTTTACCTCTGTGCTTGTGCTACTTAGGCGGGATTGGTTGACCACCGGAAATGAGTCCCAGCTACCACGATGAAAGAGATCTAAGACTCAGAAACCCATATTTGCAGAGCATTGAACGGTCAAAGGAGGTCTTTATCCTCAAATGAAGTGTGATGGATGAGTCTTGCAGCACCTATTGCTGGAGGGGAAATTGTGGCAACCCAACTCTTTTTTAAAATACTGAATTTTGAAGAGGGTTTTTTTTTGGCAGGGGGGGGGATGAGGTAAGTTATTGGCTGTTTCGGCTTCACACAGATTATGCATTAAACACCTGCATCCACTAACACCCAGTTGCTGTGTAGTCCCCTGCCCAAAGAGCTCTACCAAGACATTGATTCTTTTTCCCAAATCGCTCTTTTGCACAAACATTACTCAAGGTGGCCAGCTGAATGTATAGTACAAGGACTACAAACTTTTGCAATTCTACATTCTGAGCATGGGAAAGAAGCCAATATGAAATAAATTTGGCCTCATGTTTAATAAGCCAGAGTTATTTTAGCAGCAGGCAAGCTTTGTCTGTATTGAGGGGGAGTGGATGTGCCCTCTCATTAACAGTAACTCTACCTTTATCACAAACTGCCTTTCATATTCCCCACAAACTTAAAACTGACTTTCCAAGGAGCAAAACTAAAAAAAGTGATCCCAAAGTATTGATCCCTTCCAATATCACTTCTAGTACACCAGTTTTGGTACACCAACTTAATGAGATATTAAAAACATATGAAAAACAAAACATTGGTTACTAGCTGTTTGGTATCCATGGGATCTTCAGGGAAATTTCTAGACCTTAAGTAGATCCCATAAATATTTCTAGGAAACAAAATGGTAGGTCACACAAACCCAGTGTTTTTGGGAATTATTCACCAGACCAACAAAAGGATAAAATTAGGCAGAGAGATATAAGGTGAAGAGTATTCTAAATCCTGATATTCGGGATATGACAGTGGCATTTGCTCTCCATTTGCCTTCTAGTCCATACATTTTGGACTCCTCCTGTTCACCATGGCTGTCCTCTTGGGATTAGGTAAGCTTTCTCCTGCCAATTAAATTCTGCATCATCATTAACATAGTTTACAGCTTCAAAGGACCCCAGGTATTAAAAAAAAAACATAACACTTTAGTGTGTGTGCATTGTGTGTGTAGGATGTTGTGTACAAAGTTGTTGGAAAGGAAGTGATCATCCTATTATTTCTTCACTTAATTGCTATCTGAGGGAGTTACACTCCATGAAAGATCTAAAAACTCATGCAAAATTGTGGCTAAAGTCCTGCATAGCAGTTGAGAGTGTTATGATTTAACAGAATACAAGAAAAGAGATTACTCTTTCCTTCCATTTATTCCTTTTCAATATCCATTCCAGCTCTCTCTCTCTCTCTTCTGAATTCTTGCCTGAATGTTTGTAATGACTAATTTTCTCTAAGATCTTTTAAAGTTTAATGGGGAAATTAACCATATGGAAACTATATGCCACTAAAAACAAAAGGACTTAAAATGATTTGCTTTGACTGGATCTTGGGAATTATTTGAGATTTGAACAGGGAGGATTTGGAAGTACTCCATGCATGGAATGTGCTACCCAAAAGGAGGCTTTCAGGCTGGAATGGGGAAGCCTGGTTCCATTCTCTTCAACTGGAGGGGAGGGAGTGAAAGGGAGAGAGGAAGGGGGGAGGAGAGAGGGGGGAGAGATGTTATTGCTACAGTACATTCCTCACAGCAATCGTGGGCTGGATGGTATTTTTTTTAATTCCAAAAGGTAGGGACTGAAATATATGAACGACAGCTGAAAATGTTGACATCCGCTCTACTTTTGGACCTCTCATTTTAGGAAAACAGGGACACAGTGCCAAAACTTTAGACTGTCCCATCTACAACTCTGGGTACATAAAGAAGTACTGTACAGTTACATTACAGAAAAAGAATATAAAAAAAATAGTTAAGATATTGCTGAATTTATTTGCTTTGCTCTGGTTGTTCTCTTGGTTTTTTTTTAAGCACAGAGACCTAATAACCCAGCATATTAGTACTGTATTATTCCCTCTGAGTTTTTCTTTTTGTAAAATAATTACATGCACATTTGTCACTTCAAGTACCAACTGGCCACTCCCTAGCATACAGCCAACAGATCAGCCTCTAATTTCATGAGCCTTTATCCAAAGATGGGTGTCATCAGAAATCAGTTTGTAGTAGGCAAATGCTTGCTTGCTGTTTCAATTAATTTGGGATCTGACAACATTAAAAATATGCAAAGCCAAATATACCTTACATTTTGGATGGATAATGGTCTTCATCTCTTGTATTCATCAGGTATTGTATGACAAAATAGACATACTTAAAGCAGGAGAAAGCCATGCCTTTCGACTTAATGAGAATATTTTGGGAGATGTTTCTGACATCTAAAGGAAATGTAGCACATACGTGACTAAAAATATTCTCCCATCTCCTAAAAAATGTTAGCAATGTCACCAGCCAACTTGTAGGTTTATTTCTTGGCTCCCTATTTATTGCATCTTTAGGTTTCTGTTTATAGGAAGTTTTTGTTGCCTGAAATGTTGTGGCATGAGCTTGGGTTACAAAACTAAATAGTGTTTAGAATGATAAATTTCTACAATAACAAATCATATGTTATCTTTTTCTCTGATGGTAAAACAGAGAGTAAGAAAAATTGTAATGCTTTGTGCTTGTGGGAGTCTGCAGTGTTCTTTTTATTGCCAATTGGAAGCCAATTAAAATGAACTGTCCTGGAAAAGCTTCCCATTCTCTCAAAATGATCATCCATCTAGATGGAACACCTTTCATACTTCCATGAGACCTTTCACATATTATTGTAGGAGAGAGGACCTTGTGCTATTTAGCTATTTAACACTGTACCAGAAGACTTTCCCACCCATTTGGTTAAGCATTATCAGTGCTGCAGTGTTGGATCTTCCAAAATCTGACATTAGCTCCTAGAACTGATACAAAATTCCTAGAGTAATAAAATCTGAGTTTATGAACAGATATTCTTATAGCAAAGAACGGGCTGAATCCAGATACACCAGGTATCTTCTGCTAAATTTCACGATGTGGCTTTACAGAAGAAATGGGAAACAGGTATGTATTGACAGAAGAAATCCTATTAGACAAATTGAGACAGGACACAGCTGATCCTAAAATGGGTGGGTAACTATTGGTCAGGTGCAACTAGTTGCTTTTCCTGGAACTGCACTCCTACCCCTCCAGAAATGGTTCCCCACTATAATAAGAGATGCTTTAAAATAGTTTTCACCTGATCTATGGAAACAATTTTGAAGTCTCACTGTAACTTGGAAGAATGTTATTGAAACAGGAGTAGCAATGTTTGATAGCCAATCTCTTCCTTTGGAAGTTGTCTCTTAAACTGCAACTAGATTTTTTAAAACAATCTCCTTTAGCTTAAGACCCCTTAGTTTAATGCATATTTTCCTATTCCCGTCTCCCCCATGTTTTTGCACAAGTGCAAGGTCTCCCCCCCCAGATCATCCAAATGTTGACCCATTGGTTGCAACAGAAATTGCATGAATGTCAGACTTGAGTGACAAGCCAGTTGATTAATTCTTCACACAGCCAATGGAACAACATTCAGATGATCTGGAAAAAATGGAGCCTCCATTTGCAGGAAAATGCTAGAGGGGAACAAAAATGACACCAGAGGACATCTTCTTCAAGGAGGCGGCAACTGGGGCAGTGATAACACCCAGGCCTCCCATGAAGCTTCTTTTTGGCTTTGGCTCCAAAGCACAGCCCTAACGTTAACCTATTCCTGGGGTGGGGCCATGGTGGATGTAGAAGATGGACTGCACTAGACCTAGAGGCAAGGCCTGAGACACAGGGCAAAGTCTTACAAGGAGATTTTTATTGCCCTATGGATCAGAGATTCCTTCTGCCCTCTATAGATCATCCTTTATTTATTATAGCACAATGAGATTTCTTGCTGAAGTGATTAGCAACTGCTTTCCTTCCACTCTTCTTTCTTGGGAGTTAACTTAAAAATTTGGCATCTTGCCCTGGTTTTCTCATATTACGTTGCTTGTCTTCTGCATAAAGGCATTTTTCTCAAGCTTGAAGCAAGTCAAGGTGCACCCAGAACCCCACATCTTCATTATGAAACCCGATCCATGCAGCTCATTGTGTACTATCCAAGGGAAAGGTTTGCTTACCTGTGTTTATCAGAAGCAATGGGCCAATGGTGATACAGATGTTGAACTACAACAATTAGGGACCAGGTTCAAAAGTGTGAGATGTTAAAAGTTGTAATTCATCAATATCTGCAGGACCTCACTAATTCCCTACACTGGTACTTCAAAGTGAAGATCTACCAGAGATACCAATTACCTCTACAACAATAATTTCCTAATAGGTGTCTTTTAAATGCATTCTAAAACCTACTCCCTATTTATAAAGAAGTCCTTTACTTATAAGGAATACTAATACTTCTTACCTTAGAAAGTTATATTGTACAAAACCTCATTCTCTTTGAAATCCTGATAAAATAAAGCACCAGTCAAAATTGAATATTAAAAGAGGAGTCAAAAAGTATTTTGAAACAAATGAAATAGCACAGACCTGTTGAGCATCAATTCAATACCGGTGGTTTCCTAGCAATATTTGGGGGGAAAGGAAGGGGCTTTGACATGAGCTGGTGAAGAGCTGCTCATTAGATATAGAAGAAGAGATTGGGAAGCCCTGGAAGATGATACTCAAACTAGATTCTAGTTGGTACCCATTCAGCTTATCCAGACAGTTACTTTTATATACTTTCCTCCCTTCCTTAGAGCAACAGGAATACACAATGAACTCAGATGGGCTTTACCTCAGGGCAGGACAGTGTGACCTTTCCCTCTGTATTGTGAGCCAGTTTCAGTGCAGCTGTTGGTGTATTCCTGTCATCCTTTCCCTTATCCCCTTGACTTCTCCCACTAGTGGGAAGTCTAAACACAATCACTCTCCCAAATGTCAGTGAGGCAGAATTGGGGATTTTAATACTCCTTAATCAGCTCCTCTGATTCTTTTTTCCTTCCTGCAAATCTATTAATCTTCTTTGAGAATGATTTCCCAGTGTCAACAGCTGTCAAAGGGAGACAGTGGGAATATTGATCTCTCAGTCTCCTGGAAAATGGGAGATCAAAACTTTAATTTTGTGGCAAGAAAAATGAGGATTTTTAAAAGCTGTGGCCCTGGGCTTTTGCTCCTTCCCACCCACTTGTAAATCATGGGGCAGAGCACTTTCCACACAGGTTCAAGCAAAGCCAAGGGAAGGAAATCACGGGAGCTGTGACTCAAAGATCTAGAGCTGGCTTTCCAAGCAGACAAGCATTGAGTGAAGCAACAGATGGAAGAAGAAACCACTTTCCTCTGTTTACCTTTATAGGACTTGTCCAAAAAAAGCTGTGCTTGCAGTTCCAGATCCTTCTCCAAAGAGGTTCTTTTGACCTGTTGATGCTGCTCTGAATTTCTGCAACTAACAACTGGATTAGATAGGTTGAATCATCTAGGCTGGGCCCTTCACCTCCAGCTTGTCAGCTCTTCGGACCAGCAGCTTTCCTGTTACCCTGCTTCTCTGCTGGCTCCATATCATCTGCACACAGGTAGAGCGTTGCCTCCCTTCCCAGTACTGCAAGGGCAAGGACCAAGAACAAAATACAGGCCAAAATGAAGGACAAGCAGCCAGTCAGTGCCAAGCAGGTGGAAGGCTGCATTCCACTGGCAGAACTCCCAGCTCTGCTCTGGGACAGATTTTCTCCATCTGAAAATTCCCACACTTTGTTTGGCTATATAGTAAATTTGGCCGACTGCTCATTTCCAGGTGATGTGCCTCCTGGCAAAAAGGGCATTTGATGCCCAGTGCAGGAGATGTTGCCTTGCCAGTGATGAGCAACAGCTTCCCTGTTGCCCATAGCCCTCTTTGTCTCCCAGCCCTTCTCATTCAGCTTTTTCTACAGCTTCCTACTTTTGTGAAAGCAAGAGATCCCTCCACAACCCATCTGTCCTGTTAGCTTCAATGTTTTTTTAGGGTTTGGATGTGGAAACAGTAATTCCCTGGAAAATCTGTTCCCAAGTCCAATCTCCACAACTCACAGAAATAGGCTACACACGAAAAGTATCTGGTACTCTTATAACTCTTACAAAGGGCATTCTTGCAGTGGATGTACTGGGCCAACTGGAGCTAAGCAGATTGCTGTCTCTGACTGTATTAGCCCTCTGGGTGGTGAAATTGGGAAGCTTTGGCTGAGAAGGGGAGGAAACACCACTTACAAACCAAATCAACAAAAGCCAACTTTGGGCTGTGGTGGCAGGCTGGAAATGTCATAATGAGGACATGGAATTGAGAATTTTTGAGGTATATGTGGAATTAAATTATGTTTTGGGCTTCTGGTTCTTTCTAGGTAAGCCATATTTTCTGCATATGCCCATTATTTGGAGGGCAGACAACAAGCCTTTCCTGGCTGCCCTCAGAAATCCAGTCCCTTTTTCTCTTCCCTGGGCCAGTAATAAGAACACTGCAGCTCAGAGAAATAAATTATAGCAATAGAACACTTTTCTTTTTTCCCCCAAACATAATTCCTCTATCATTTACATGAAATATACTGGCTGGATTTTAACATGTGTCCTCTCCATCTCTGATCTGTTCCATGTAGAAGGCACGACTCCAACATACTGCTGTATGTACAATTTGAAAGCGCTGCAAGACCCCTTGTTTCCAATCAAAGAGCCTTTGGGAATCATAATCATGGCTCTCTCCCATTATGGCACTTTCCCTTTGTTGCTGCTTTATATGGTTTTGTGCTCCAGCATTTCCTCCAGGAGGTCCCTCAGGTCCACAACCCAAGCCTTCAAAAGCTCTCCACGAAGCTGCCGGGGAAGAGGCCTGACCTGCCATTCCGCTGTAACGTCCCTTTATACCAACCATCTTCCCTTTTCTTGTGGACGAACACAATGTCACCCTCCTTCAGTTCAATCTCAGCTTCACTCTGCGGGGGATACGGGACTACGACACGATATCTTCAAGAAAGAAAAGAAAAAAAGCCTTACTGCAGATACTGTAGATCCATCCCAAAGCAACATGTTTATGACTGATTTATTCTGTGCCATCAAGTCAACATCAGCTATTAGCAGCCCCAAAGATAGACCTACTCAGGATTAACCATCATCATTGACACCTTGACATTGTGGGAAATGCACAGAAGAATCAGTACACCATACCAGATTGTGTATGTGTGTGCAAAGCTCGCAATGACGGCACAATGTGGCATATATACTTAATGTTGATTGCATATGTTGTTTATTTATATTCTGACTTAAAATTAATTGGCAAGCCCCTCCCCCAAATCTGATTATCAAATCTTTATATATGCATATGTACACATGTAATAAAGTTTGGCACGAGAGATCTTATTTGACTGAAATAATATTTCCTATCAAATTGTCTATGGCAGAGCTGCTTCTCTTACATTTAGGATGCATTGCCAATTTCAACTACGTGTAAATACATGTTTGCATTATTTTAAACAAGTGTCAACGGCATTATTACATTACAGCAGGTTTAGCTAAAACAATGCCAACTAATTTTGCAACTCCATATGCATGAACAAAATGAGAGAAAGTTAGTCATAGCTCATTGGACCATATCATTTTGGCAAAAGGATATGTAAAGTTCTCTTTCCCAGAATTCTTTAAACTGATATGCATTGCACTGATACAACAATCTTGACACTGGTTCAGATTCCCCAAATGCTTTTTAAAAAAAGGAAAATCAGTGTTAACAACAAAATTTCCTCTGAAAGGTTAGACATATTTCCAATTAACAAATGATGAAACTTTAAAACGATACATATATATGCACCCATACTTAGAGACACATGACTATATATTCCGTGTGTGTGTGTGTGTTTTGTGTTCAAAACATGGCACAAGTAACTAGCCATTAAGTCTCAGGAGAATGCTCTGCTGCTTCGCCAAACTAGGCTAATGCAATGTCAGTAACTAACCTATAGCAGGAGTATTTCTGTGGCAATCTATATCAGCTCTCACAGGGAAAAAACTTCCAGGGACTTGTCTCAGTTCTGTTGACATGTTTATGCAAGTCTTCAAGATGACAGGTATTGCCTGAGCAATGACTCCAGCTTGATTGCACAAAGTTGCCAGAGGCTTGCACGCATGACACACAAGGCTATCTAAATTAGGCAACCACTGGTTTGGTTGTTGCCTTCCCTGATCTCTGTGTCCTCCTATTAACTCCTCCTAATCTTTCTGACATCTTCCAACTGATCTGTCCTGATTCTCTCTGTGCCGACTCCTCCAATGACTTCTAACTGGCCCACTCAGGCCATATCTTCCCACTTTTTCTCACTAGGCTGTTCATACCCCTGTCTTCCTAGTATCTTCTCTCTAGGAAAAAGATCTTCTTAGCAACCTCTCAGACACCCATCCTGATTTTCCCAACATCTTCCTCCATCCCTAGTGTTGACAATCTTCCTGCAATTTCTCATTTTTAGTAGAAAGAAAGAAGTAGCAACTGATTCTCATGAACCAGACAAAACATACTAGCTAACATTCCTGGTGACATATCCTTGCACTATTGTTGTGTTTTGCCTCTGAATGGAGAGTTACCAGTGCTGATGCAATCTATTGTTACTCAGATTTTTTTCTTTGCCTTTCTCTCAACTCCTGTCATAGCATTATATGGGCATATTGAGAAAGGCAGATACCTGAAGGCAGAGTGCCTGGTATGGCAGAATTATATGTGGCAGGAGTTTGAAAGACAACAGAGCTTCTGGTCATGAAAACCTTTAAGGGCTTCCACTGTAACTGCTTATATTTTTAACAAGCAACATCCCTACATAAAAAACAGTCATGTTTGATTACACCATTATGGACACCATCTTGAAGTTTTTGACCAGACTCTGTGGACAATATTGAATTGGCTAGAAAGGCCAACTTTTTGTCTACCCTAGATTTTAAAAAATACCTACATAAAATCCTGTTTACGTGACCGTAAATGTCTGAATTCATAGCCTGGATTTATTAGGGGTGAATTTTAACTCAGGCTGAGGAGTATTAGGAGACCAAAATTCTGGTCATCTGGAAAACCAATCTAGTTTTTGATTTATCAATATATCATATATATGTGACAATAAACAAAGAGGCTGAAACTTGAAAATCTCAAAAAGTATATCTGCTATTGCTGTTATTTGCAGTGAATAGTAGGACTAGATTTGGTACAAGGTTTGTATGAGACTGGATAACGTGTGTCAAAATCAGTCTTGGCTGTTCCAGGTCTTTTCTTTCCAATTTCAAATATCCAATATAATGAAAGTATTTTTAAAAAATTCTAATCCCAATGAAAGCTCTAGGAGTGATATTGAATACCAAAGTTTCTGAGAGCAAAGATGTCAGTTTTGTCAACTATCAGTTGTTGATCAGCTCTCAGGCAAGAAGGACAAGGAAAAAAATCGGCGAAGCTATGGGGAAGGTGGAATAAAGGAACACCAGTTTGTTTGGTTTCTAGTGGCTTCATGCAAATAAGGAATAAAGATTTCTATGTAGCCTTCCTGTATTGAAGGGCTGGGACGTTTCTTCTGGGTTTAAGCTGGGCAGCCTGACCTAAGCTAGTTGTTTAGCTTCATTCAATATACAAGGAGGCAAGGAAACATCTCAAGGACAAAAATCAGAGATAAAAACATGTTTCACAACTACTGCTGTGGGCCAAACAAGAGAGCTGGACAAGCCATCTTCCCTCACAGTAATGAAGGCTCCCCTTAATTTCATCTCCCTGCATGGCCATACACCAGGAACCTTTGTTCCAGAGGTTCACTTCTGGAGTTGAAACCAGATGGTGGAAAAGTGCATGAAGAGATGTGTAATAAGATTAAGAGTAGCAGACTCAGAAAGATTCAGTGCATTTTGCTTTTGTACCCGTTAATTCTTTCAGTTGGATCCCAATCTTTGTTTTATATCTGGACTGAATGGATCTGTTTTGAAAGATAAAGGAAGGCAATAATTTGGAGTTAGTCCAATAATTAGATATGATACTTACGAATGAAACATGCAACCTCTAAATGCAGAGTAGTGGGGTGTACATAGTAGTGACTAGTGTCATGTTGTAAATTGGCAGTGGTTCTTCATTATGGCTCAGACGTATACTAGATGGGGCATGAGGCTTTGGATACACATTTTTTAAAAGCCATTTATGATTATATTTATGAGACCAAATGGATGCGGAATGAACTTCCAGATTAATATAGCTGCTCAACTAATTCCAAGACTAAGCTCCTCACAAAAAGATGAAATTAATATTCCTCACTTATTGATTAAAAATATACAAACTATTAAGGGATAAAGATCAACTGTGACTCTGTATTACATTCCACCAGATCAACTCAGAATATGAATTGATTTAATTAATAAATCAATTAGAGAAAATCCTGATTCCTAAGTACAATTAAGGTAATTTCAGCTATAGGTTATTCTTAGACTTGGTTGGCAATCAAAATACTGGATTAACGTCCATCCTTAGGACCACAAGTGGGACATTATTATTTTGATCATTCTCTCCACTCTCAATATTACAATCAGTGGGATGAATAAATCTCTTTGCTTTCCATTCTGGAAGAATTCTTATTGGTTTGCTTTGGTAATAGGAAAAAAAGCCAAAACGAACTGCCAACATAGTCTTGCTGTTGAAACAATCTTGTGCTGCGATATAAAAAAATGGCCTTAACTGAAAGTATTTGGAAATGCAAATCTGCAAATAGCGAATTTTCATTGCATCGTATTTGTACTTAACGCCTTACCTTTCTCGATTCAACGGCTTAGCTTCTGAGTGGCTGGTTGCCATTGAAGGTGGCAGTTGCCTTATGGGAGAAGGAATAGAAAAATTCAGATCCAAAGATCCCGTCTTTCTGTGCAGAGGCTCCATCTCCATTGCGCCTTGCATTTCACTCTCGATAGGGCAAGATCCTGCCCTCCCATGGCTAGAGAGAGAGGACAGTTCAGGTCCCATTGCGCCCTGCAGCATACCTTCCACTATTGCCAAGGGGTCGTGGGTTGGCGACATGGAGGGAGGAGAGCGGGATTTCTTTTTCGTGGAGGCTCCTGCTAGAAGTTTCAAGAGTCCGCTTTTCTTTTCTTTCTGCATGAGGATCATATAAACCATTGAAGAAGGTCTGATTATGCAATTGAAGCAAACCCCACCACCTATTTTTCATATCCACCCACATAAAAGCTAAGTAGTCTTGCAGCAGGCAAAGTGTGGACCTCTGGGAGTATGCATCTGTGTTTTTGTGTGTCCATGTACACGCACAAGTACCTAGGTGTGCATATGCATAGAGTACAAACATAGATATTCATCCAGGTTGTTTTACTGAAGGATTTTATTTAGGCAAAAAAATAAACAAGAAAGCAAGCATCATTTACACATTATCTTTGCAAAGACGGTTATGTCCTTATGGACTGTAAATGTGATGCTCAGTACTGGAGTTGGTATTACATTTCATTGCAATAAGGACAAATGATTCATCCCAGGGAGGGAATAGGCAATTCTAAACTGCTGAAATTTGAAAAGGCAATAATGTTTGAGTCTACCCATGGGGGAAACAGAACACTGAATGTCTAAGTCCTTGGGGCAACAAGAAATTGGTTATCCCTACAAGCATGTTGTCCCTACAAGCATGCTTATTTCTCTTCCTTCCTTCCTTCTGACTGATCCCAGCACTGGGGCCTTTGTGAGATCAGAACATGAAATCAATAGGTTCTTGCAATGCACAATTTTTCCTTTCACCAGATCTTTTAAGCCAGCCTTGACACTATCATCTCTAGCTGACAATGATAGAGGATCATTCTGACAAGGGATGATGGGAGTTGTAATTGAACATACAAGCAGGCCCCATGCAGTTTTTAAATTTCCGCTAAATATTTATTTTTTGTTAATTTAATTGTCTTTCCAGGAAGCACAAAATGGTACATGGCTCTGTATTCTCCCATTTTGTTCTTGCATTAGTTCAGTCTCACAAGTTAAGCTGACAGATGGTAGTTAAACAGTGGTTATCCCAGTTATAATCCATGGGTAGTCCTCAACTTAGAACCAATCACTTAACAACTTTTGAAGTTACAACCATACAGAAAAAAGTGATTTATCATTAATCCTCATAGTTATGATCATTGCAGTATCCCCATATTCATGGAATCAAAATTTGGGTATTTGGTAACCAGCATGTATTTATGTGATCACCTTATGGGATGCTGCTAGCTGGCTCCCAACAAGCAAAATCTTTGGGGGAAAGCCAATTCGTTTAATAATCATAGAAATGTAGGACTACTTGTAGGTTCCTTATCCTTAGTCTGTCACTTTAAACATGGCTTTCTATTCCATTTAATTTCAACTTTCAATTTAGCCAACATATGAGAGAGAGAAACAAAACTTGCTCTGTAGGTTGCATAAAATCTTATTAGTGAGCAGAAAATCAACCTGGAAACTGTCTAATTGTCTGGAAACGGCTGCTAGAAAGGGAAAAAATAAGGCTTTGTTTATAATGTTATATAAAACCTGCAATATAAAAGAATACATTTCTTTCATTCTACCTCTGCGTGCCATAGGGGCAGAGACAATGTGCTATGGGGAGTTTGTGATACCTACCCTGTAAGATGCTGAAGGAAGGCATTAGAATGAGCCCAGAGTTTCTAAAAACAATTTGTTTACTGCTACGAATGCACAACAGAAACTCTTTTCTGTGTCTGTATATCTCTCCATATGGTGTATTTCGATGTTTTAAAACTGAAGTTTGACAAAAAGAATCCTATTTCATAATATTACTATAAGATAGAACAATGTGCAAAGTCTCAGAAGCTTATTTGAATGACACATTATACTAACCCTCCCTCCTCCCCCCATTTTGTCGTTTCTTTAATTTATTTATTTTTCTGCAAACTCCCTTTAAACCTGTTAAACAAAGGCAGCAGCTTCCTTCCAAGCTATTGGTAAATTACTCTGGCGAGATGTATAAAATATTTAATGTTAATTAAGGCAATGGTGTTTCACTTATTTATAGTCTCATAGACTTATCAAATCAAATCTTCATTACGGTCATAGACCAGCATATGCAGACGTATTGTAATTCACAGTGATATCAAGGATAGGTTCAATTATTATTTTCCAATGTATTTAACTTGTTGAGCCTTATATCAAATTAGATACCAAAATAATACATTTTTTTCTAACACTGAGTAGAGTTAATTTATGGCCACACATTTATGTACTTATACACACATTTATACACAAATACTGTACATACCGGTATATAGGCACTGCCACTTAACAAGACTAAGGATGCGTAATCTGATGGCCTTAATGCAGTTTTCTTGATAGAAGAGAATATTTGTAGCTCAGGATTGAACTGTGGAGTCATGGTGCCCTCTGAGCTTGGTGGTTTTCCTGCAGATGTTTCAGTACCAAACTAGGTAACATCATCAGTGCTAGCACCAAGTTAGAAATGAAACATCTGCAAGAACGAAACCTCATAGGTTTCTTTTTCTTTTTAGTTTTCTTATTATTAAAATTTATAAGCTGTCCGACTCCCAGGGATTCTATCTCAATCACCTTAACCTACCATCTGTTTCTATACATTTTATGGAACTGATATCCCAGATGTTTCTCCTGCTTTGATGTTGGTAAATTTCATCCTGATTTTCACCAGTTGTGGCTGTGGGAATCAAGAGTCCACTTTTTCCTGGCGGGCAATACAAAGTATTCATCAAAACACTGGAAAACTGTACCTAATCAAAGCTTTGTTACAACTTTTGTTCTTGCTTTTTAAAAGTTTGGTGAGTCTACCAAGTTTGGGGTTGGGGCAGCCAGCTGAACATTGTTTGCCTAATCAGCTTAACGGGATCCAGACCCAGATCCAGAAAAAGTAATAGCTTAATAACCTTTTGGAATGGAAACAAATACAGTATTTAGACTGTTTGGCGAGAACATCTATAAAACGTTGAATTCAGGAAAGCCATCAATTGCCGGTTATATTAGGATATCTTCAGAAACCCAAATAAGACAGCTTTCCTACATGCTGTGACTATTTACTGTGCAAAAATGTTTTCTTGATGAATTAGGCATTTTTTATGATTAGTATTGAGATTATTTTACATTAAAAAAATCTTGTTGCAGAGATGGAGCATTCAATCAGCCTATAAATCTGAGTAATGAATATTAATTCATTAGAATGTATTCATTAGAATTAGGCCATTACCTACATGAAGAGTTTCTGGCAAGGGATGGCCTGCACCTCACAAGAACTGGGAAAAATTAATTGAAAAATGACTAGCTCAATTCATCTGAAGGGCTTTAAACAAAAACTGAGAGGGGAGAGTGACCGATTTTTAGGACCTAATTCGAAGCATAAACTGCAAGATGACCGATCAAACAAGAAGGCAGGGAGTAATGGGAAGGAAGAAAAATTCAGATACAAAGCAGGAAATGTAAGAAACATATCCAGGGATAGCCATAAAGGACTCAGATGCCTATACACTTATTGCTGCAGCTGCCAAAAAAGCCAGTGAAATCCTAGGTTGCGTGAACAGAGGGATAGAATCGAGATCAAGGTGTTAGTAATGCTTTATAAGGTCTTGATAAGACCACACTCAGAATCATCCATCCAGTTTTGTCACCTCAATATAAAAAAGATGTTGAGACTCTGAAAAGAGTGCAGAGAAAAGCAACAAGGATGATTGGGGCTGGAGGCTAAAACATATGAAGAATGGTTGATTGTTTCTAGTCTAGTGAAAAGAAGGACGAAGGGTGACATGATAACAGTATTCCAGTATTTGAGGGGCTGCCACAAAGAGGAGCGGTCATCCGAACTTCCAAAGCACCAGAAGGCAGGAAAAGAAGCAACAGATGGAAACTAATCAAGGAGAGAAGAACCTAGAATCAAGGAGTGAGAACAATAAATGACAGTGAGAACAATAAATCAGTGGAACGGCTTGCCTTCAGAAGCTGTTGGTGTTCCATCTCTGGAGGTTTTTAAGAAGCAATTGGGCAGCCATTTGTCTGAATTGGTATAGGGTGTCCTGCTTGAGTAGGGGGTTGGACTAAATAGAAGACCTCCATGGTCTCTTCCATTTCTGTTATTCTGTTATTTCTTAATTACTATGTGTAAAAAGGAATAAAAAAATTGTCTTGACTAGTTCTATTCTTTCAACCTAACCTACAGGTCTTTGATCACTTAAAGACTAGCATTTCTTTTTTTTTTTTATCATTTTTTAAATTAATTTTCTATTATTACATTTGATTAATACTTAATAAACATTGTGTTGTCTGGGTTAATTTGTTTGCTTAATAATACAAGTTACATTCTTAGTTTCTACTCCTTTTTTCCAACCACTGATAAAATAAATTCCATGTTTGAAAATATTCTGTGTCTTCTTTCTCTTTGATCCTCAATATACAGTAAGTCTGTCCATTTCAGCACAGTCCAATATCTGATATGATATTGTTGCCTTTACGGAAACTTGGTGGGATGAAACCCACAAATGGAACACACAGCTAGAGGGATTTAAACTATTTAAAAGAAACCAGATCAAATAAAAGAGGAGGTGGAGTTGTTCTCTGTATAAGAAATAATTACATCACTACAGAAATAGAGCACAACAATGATGAAAACTGTCTTGAATGCATTTGGATCAATATAAAAGGGGAAAAATGACATTGCCATAGGTATATACAATAGGCCACCCACCAAACAGAAGTAATAGATGAACTTTTTGCTAGTCAGTTAACTAAGGTATGTAGGAAGCAAATCACAATAGTAATGGGGAACTTTAACTACCCTGACATCAATTGGGAGACAAACTCTGCACCAAGTGCAAGATCAAACAGATTCCTAACAAGCCTAGCAGATAACTTTGTCTCCCAAAAAGTAGAGAAGGGAACTAGGGAATCAGCCATATTGGAATTAATTCTCACTAACAGAGATGAAATGATAGAAGGTGTTGAAACCACAGGAACCTTGGGGGGGGGCAGTGATCATACAATATTGGAATTCAACATTATGCAAGCACAAACAACAGAACACAGTCAAACTAGAGTCTAGGACTTTAAGAGAGCTAATTTCAACAAACTTAGAGAGAGCTTAGAAAGGA